GTGTGTTTGTGTGTGTCTCTCTATGTGTGTCTTTGTGTGTGTGTGTCTCTGTGTGTGTCTCTGTTTGTGTCTCTGTGTGTGTCTCTGTGTGTGTGTCTCTGTGTGTGTGTCTCTGTGTGTGTCTCTGTGTGTGCGTATCTGTGTGTGTCTCTGTGTGTGTCTCTGTGTGTGTCTCTGTGTGTGTCTCTGTGTGTGTCTCTGTGTGTGTGTGTCTCTGTGTGTGCGTCTCTCTGTGTCTGTCTCTGTGTGTGTCTCTGTGTGTGTCTCTGTGTGTGTCTCTGTGTGTGTCGCTCTGTGTGTGTGTGTCTCTCTATCTGTGTGTGTGTCTCTGTGTGTGCTGTGTGTCTGTGTGTCTGTGTGTCTGTGTGTCTGTGTGTCTGTGTGTCTCTGTGTGTGTGTCTCTGTGTGTGTGTCTCTGTGTGTGTGTGTGTCTCTGTGTGTGTCCGTGGGTGTGTGTCTCTGTGTGTGTGTCTCCGTGTGTCTGTGTCTCTGTGTGTGTGTCTCTGTGTGTGTCTCTGTGTGTGTATGTCTCTGTGTGTTCTGAACCACTTGAAAGCAGCTCGGTCTTGAGTCGAATCATGCACATGCAAACCACAAGTACGCCATTGAATCAATGCCAATGAGGAACGAACTCCCAGTCAACCGATAGCCCTTCATTCCTGTTTTGCTGGGTAGCATCACAAATTGTGAAACAAGTCCAAAGGCGAATCAATCTGAAAAGCAAGCTCACCCTCGGGCGGGTGGGCGGGAAAAAAATGTGCAACTTCCCATTTAGGGAAGGAAGCTACCTGCCAATCCCGAGCTGCGGCATAGACACAAAAGAGGCAAACTCTCGTGCCACAACTGCTCCAAAACACAGGGGACCCCAACACCCCTAGCGTTCTGAACCGCTTGAAAGCAGCTCGGTCTTGAGTCGAACCATGCACATGCAAACCACAAGTACGCCATTGAATCAATGCCAATGCCACGCAGGAACGAACTCCCAGTCAACCGATAGCCCTTTATTCCTGTTTTGCCGGGTAGCATCACAAATTGTGAAACAAGTCCAAAAGCGAATCAAACTGAAAAGCAAGCTCACCCCCAAAACCCAAACTGGCTAACAGGAAGGAAGGGGCGGTCAGGCACATCCCGAATTGAGAGCTGCTCCCTGAGTCAAATGTTCAGCCAACCCACGCCGAGCAGGACACCAGGAAGCGTCATTTGGGCTCAATATACGACTGCATAGGCTTTGACAGGTCTGCTAACGCATGCCGAAGATTGGCCGCGGACCAGCGCTCGGAAAACCAGAGAATACCGTCAGAGCGTTTGATCCATCCGCCAATGCCCACGGGCATCAGCCGCCATTTGCAAGAGAGACACTCTGGGTTCTCGGAGAGGTGTGACCCAAGACCAGTGCAAGAACATTCATTCCCAGATCACGCTTGGCGTGACAGTCTTCGTTCGGGATGCTGCGGATTGACAGCTCGGATCCACCCCGACTTAGTTGTAGCGGGATGCGCCCTCATTTGGGTTGGGGAAGTGCAGGGATGATGTCCCATAGATATACGGGTGCTGCCAACAGGTATGTTGAGACCTGGCACAGGGCCAGATAGCCTGCACGATTCATCCAGCGCAGACAAAAGCATTGGTCAAAGTGACGCCTCCACATGAAATAGGGCGGCGGGCGCCGCCGAGATGGTCTCATACACCGAAGCCAAGTGGGGCCGCAGATGCGCAAAGACCTGTGTTACCCAAACCAGCGTGCCAAAGGCCTGTAGGTCCTTAAGCTCAGCTCGCTGACTCAACAATGCCAGCGCCTTGTCACGTTTCGCCGGGGTTAGGGAAATGAGTTGGCGCGAAAAAGACAAGTGCCAACCGTTCCATATCAAAGAGTGGCCAAGTTCACGCTTTTTCCACGACAAAGGAATTTCTATCACTTGAAGCAGGGCTGCGCCAAGAGCTGCAGAGACCGACGCGGTGCTTTGAGGGAGTGCGGCAACGATATCGTCCACATAGATCATACCCGCGTGCCTGGTGAAGGATTATTGCCGCCGCAAGCCGCGACCACCAATACGCCGAAAATTTGCCACCAAAGTAACATCTGGTGTAGCCGTATGTGTGCCCGCGGAACTGAAAAAGTACTAAGCCCTGCTCCTGCGGGCTAATGCAAATTTGCTTGTGCGCTGAGCTGACATCCCAAGAAACGCAAGTGTTGAATGTTTTCAAAAGGCTTCGTAGGTTTGACCATTTCCGAGGGGGTCAAAATCCACGGCGATTGTTTCGACGATTGTTTCGACGATTCTTTTACCAAAACAATTGTCGCAACAATTGTTTGAGAATACACGGGCACGCAAAACAATTGCTGCAACAAATGTTTGACAAAACGCGGGCGCGCGAAACAATTGTTGCAACAAATGTTTGACAAAACACGGTAAGCAAAACAGTTGTCGCAGCAATTGTTTGACAAACACGGATGTGCAAAACAATTGTCGCAACAGTTGTTTGACAAAACACGGGTGTGCAAAACAATTGCTGCAACAATTGTCTGAAACACGGGCATGCAAAACAGTTGTTGCGGCAATTGTTTGACAATTGCTTTATTATACGACGCGGACATGCAACACAATTGTAAGCAATCCTTGCGCTAGTGCGCTGCATGAAAAAAGCATCGACGCTGGGGCTGAGGTTGGGGGTGGCTGAGCTACGCCGCTTTGTCAGCGCGCGCCGCAGCTGCTGTTTTGGACTCCAAAGGCACTTGTTGGCTGCCAAGGCTCTGTGGCCTGGCTAGGCTAACTGAGGCTAACTGCATCTCTGTCCCGGGGTCGGGTGGCGTAGATGTTGCCGACTAGGTCAGAGACCGGCTCACGGCATAGGCCTGCCTCCTTGCGCAACGCGGAGGGCTGCCAAGGTGGCATGGACATCCGCCTGCGTGACTGGGGCGCTGGGCTCGCGAAGGACGAAGGCTGCAAGCGCTGCCTGCCAAATGGCCAGCAGCACTGGTAGGGACATCGCGTTGCCAGCGAGGTCCGTCATGAGGCTTTCTGTGAGCCACTTGCGCTGCGATTGGCCATGCGAAGCGTCGATCTCGTGGCGCAACTCGGCTAAAAGCCTGCGGGCTGGAAAACCTTGCATGATAAGCGCCTCCTGGCCCAAAAGCACCCGAGCAGGCCTGGTAAGCTCCACAAACAAAAGCTGCCCGGGCAACATCGTTGGGGCCACGTGCTTGCCGGAATCTGGGCTCCAGCTTTGCGAGTGGACTCGGCCAACTGACTGGCTGAGATTCCGAAACCCCGCCGAAGGCGCCTGATGCCTGCTCAGCAGCAATGAGTCTTTTCTCGGTCTGTGAGGGTGTCAAACCAGTCGTTGCAGGCAAGGTCCGCAGGAACAGGCTGGCCCCACCGCACGCCAGCGCTCTCTGAGTAGCGCATGTGCTGCTCAATCCACGCGCTCCCTGCACTGTTGCTCTGAGAGCGGCCCGCGCTCTTCAGGGCCTTGTCTTGCCGCGCAATGAGGAACTGCTTGACATCCTCATCGTCCCAGGGCAAGAGAACCTTGCTTGCACACGGGGCTGAGCGCACGCACGACGCGACGCAGGAGCGAAGCGAGTCAAAACAAGCCTCCAGCGGCCGGCTGCTGAAACTAAAGACGCAGTTCGTGACCTTGACAAACACGACGTAGAGTCGGCGGCGCCTCGCGGGCAAGCCAAACTGGTTGGAGTCCACAAGAAGCTTCTGGCCAGAATACCCTGTGTTCGCCATGGTCTCCATGAGGTGCTGGAGGTTGTTCTGCTGGGACTGCGGGATGGCGTCGTCGATTGAGTCCACGTTCTCGTAGACGATCATGCTGGGGCCGTGCTGCCTCACATATGCCACGAACCCTTGAAACGTTTGGGCCGAGCCCCCTCGGCTGCTGACTTGGTCTAAGACCAACTTGGTGTTGTCTTTCGAGGGGTTTGCCCTGCTTAAGTCCTTGCAAGACGTTCCAACAACAAAGATGTCCACCCGGGGAATGGGGCAGTCTTTGTCATGCACCACGCAGTGCCCGGCTGCCTCACCAAGCTGCCCGATGTCTGCGAAGATGCAAGCATCACCGGCCCACCAATCTGGGTCGGAGTCCAGGTCAGCGCCTGGCAGCCCCATTGTGGTGGCATCGGAGCGGGACGTCTCCCCGTCAGAGCAACCCGCATCTGGCTCAAAGTCATCAAGCCCTGCCCAGCTTGCCTTGCCGGCTGACAAGACTGCAGAGATCCATCGCTGCTTGTCTTTATTTGCCTCGCATGAGAAGACATGCTGCAGCGATGTCTTGGCGCGCGCACGGCCAAGGGCAGCGTTGATGGCCATCGCAACGTAAAAGGCGCCCTCAGTACCTGAGCACGCAGATGCCCAGGTCAAAGTTACCTTGTCCGGCCTCGGCGCGCTCTCTTGCTGCAAGACTTGGGCAAAGCCCGCAAGGTTCTCCCGAGCCAGCTGTGGCAACAAAGTGCCATCTACCAGGCCTTCTGCATCCAACACCCGGCTGAAAGCCGCAGCCTGCTGGTCTATGTTCAACGACTCGGACTTCTGCTGCTTCAAGGTGCGGGCCCGTTTGGGTGCCTGAGCTTCAGGCAGCTCAGCCATGAAAGCTACCGGCCCGCCCTACTAGACCGACAAAGCCTGAAGACTAAGACTACAGAGAACGCGCGAGCCACACCTGAAGCAAAGCAGCGGAACAAAGTGCGTGGGTTACAAACTTGCGCAGAAGCCAACAAACCAACCGTAAGGAGACGCCCTCTCACCCTTAGCGGTTTCACCGTCAAACAAAACCCTGGGCTGCCCCAAGCCCTAGAAAGCCCGAACCTTGCGCACCTTGGGCGTATGCGTTGTTGGGACCCCAAAACTGCCACTACCCAGCGTTGAGACCCAAGCCTAGCTAGCCAAGCACGCAGCGGCCGACTACCGTTTTGCACTGCCTGCGCACTCTTTCAGGAACTCTAGGGCTACGCTACTGGGCGCGTCAGAAGTAGAACAGGGCGTGACCACGGCTTAGCCGGCTTTCCTCTTCCTGGCGGCACCTGCCTTGGCCGTGGCCTTTGCCTTGGCCTTGGCCTTGGCCTCTGCCTTGGACTTGGGGCCGGCGGTGGCTGCTGCCACAGGCGCCTTGTCAGCGGCTGTCTCCTCCGGGTCTCCTTTGCGTTCCTTGGCTTGTTTCTTCTTGTCTGTCTTGCCCTCCTCCTTGTCCTTCTTTTTTTTCTTGTCTTTGTCGACCGCGTCCTTCTTCTCCTTGTCTGCGTCCTTCTTGCGCTTCTTGTCCTTCTTTTCCTTCTTCTCCTTTTTATTCTTCTGCTCCGCTTTTTCGTCGCCACTGTTCTTGCACTCCTCTGCCGCTGCCTTTTCTGAAGCTGCCGCTGCGACCGCTCCCTCAGGCGCTGGCAGGCCGCTGCATGCGCCGCCAGGCTTTTGCTTGCTGCCTGGTTCCTTCTCAAAGCCGGCTGCGACGTCAGTCTTGGCCTTCTTCTTTGCCGGGCCTTTGGTGCCTTGGTCCTGGGTGTGCAGCTGCTACTTCTGCGGCAGCGCTCTTAGCAAACTCCAGCAACGGGGCGGTAGTGTCTCGCGTGTGTTGGTTGAAGCCTTCCTTTTCAGCCTCGAAAGCAAGAAGGCGGGCCTCCAAAGACTCGGCCACAGGCCTCAGCTCCTTGAGCAATGCCTTGCCGTCGTCAGAAGTGGTGCCAAGGATCGGGTTGCGCAGCAGACACAGGCCTGCAATCAGGGTGACGTGGAAACCTGCAATTCTTGCTGTAAGGCTGCAGTTGTCCGAAAATTCCACGGGCAAGCCTTCCAGCTCCAGAACGTTCACAGGCCCTTGCGCCGCTTGCTTGCCAAACACAACAGGGTCCAAGACCTTCAAGATATCCTGCGGCACGCGCAACTGCGACAGCTCGGCCTCCATGGCGGTCGACTGTTTTGCCAGTTCCGCTACGTGCTTCACACCGTGGGCTCTGTAGGCTGCTTCCTCAGTGAGGCTTGGTGTTGGCAGGCTGCCCAGCAACTTGTCCAAGTTGCATTTTGCGATCTTCAAGGTTTTGGCGGCACTCTGCGCCTTTTTGGTGAGGAGCTCCCTGTGCAAAGTTAGCCGCTGCTGGAAATGCTGAATTGCCTCTTCCGAAGCAATTCTCGTCTTCTCCAAGTCCTGCTTGAAGGCGGGGTCGGCGGCGCTGTCCTCCGCTTCCTTGACAGCAACGCAAAGCTTCTCAGACAAGCAGCAGAGTTTCTTGGCGAAGCCTCTCAACTCGTCGTTGGTCTTCTGGCCAGCCCCGTGCGGGCCATGCTTTGCCACCTGCACAAGAAGAGTCAGCAAACAAACGCGACAAAGCCCCAACAGCCAATGAAACTTGACCGTTGCCGCAAACAAGAGAGTCACACCCGCCCGGAAGGCACCAACTGTTTTTTCACGACGAAGTGAACAATGTGCAATAAAGCTCTAACGGTCAAAGGCATGGACCGAACGGCTGTCCCCCGCCTCCAAAAACGCCGTCACCAAGTCGCGCAGTTTGTGGGTCTTTGGGACCCGGCTGAGGAGCTCTGCCGCCATGTTGCTGGACAGCCCAGCGCCAAGTAAGCTCTGCACACACTGCGAAACCACCGGGGCAACGCTCTCCAAGCCAACAGAGAACAAACTGGCAAGCTCTGCCCTGACTGGCTGCAGCAGAAGCTTCTCCGTTTTCTCCAACAGCCCTGAGGCACTGACCCACCTCTCCAGTTTTGGCATCATCTCAGTAGACCAGGCATGCAAGGCCGGAGCCTCCACGGCAATGGGCGGCACATGCTGGAACGAGGGCTGCCTGTGTAGGGAAAAACGGGACACCTCCACCAGAATCTTGGAAAGGGCGCGGTACTCGTCCCGCCATGGCAAATCACCTGGTACGAACGCCCAAGCCGGATGCTCCACACAGGACGTGGCTCGAAGCCCGTTCTCCACGTCATCCAAATTGATGATGGACATCTCGCCATGGCAGTTGTGCTCCAGCGCGTAGGCCACTGCGTTCCTTAGGTGGGATGCGTTGCGTGGGCCTAGCCGGCGGTTTGGAAACCCACGCCCGGAAAGCCATCGTGGCCTGCCTGTGTTGTGTGAGTGTAAGGTTTGGTGACATGGCAATGAGATTTCATGTTGTAGCTTCTGGCTCGTGACCCTTTGGCACTGCCAACCCCAACGTTGACCTGGTCACCTTGCCATGTGTGGCCTACGTGCGCCTCTTCCTGTTCATCCACCCTGGGCTTTCTTGTCGGGCCAAAAACAGCGTGGAACAACTACAACCGAAGGCCCCACGTGCAACCAGTAGCCCTTTGTAGCAAGAGAAAGGAGCCGTGTGCAGCCATCCAAACACACCCAGAGGGAACGCCCCAATGTTTTCGACACACCTGCTCTACCCAACTCAAAAGTGGGTCTGAAATGGGACCGTGTTCCGAATTACACGGGGCAAAGGGGCGCCGGGAAACAGCAGTCAGGGAAACAGTAGTCTTGCCACAGCCGCTGCCCACTACGTTGCAGCCGAGAAACAGCTGTTCGTAGAGCCGCGCCTGCAACTCAATTCGCGCCAGCTGCGAGGCTGTGTCCTTCAGGTGGCGCTCCATTGTGGCCAGCTCCTCTGCTGCTTTGGAAGCTTCCGGCTTCTTGCTCTTCTTGCTGCAAGCGTCCGCCGCAAAGGGGCATTTCTTGACCTCAGCCAAGGCCTTGCCCGCAGGCAGGACCAACTCGTCCAAGAACTCTGCGCCTAGGCTGGCGGTCCTGGTGGCAGCAGAAAAGGTCAACGCGTTTGCCAGTTTGCCCAAGAGCTCCGAAACTCGGCCACAGGCCTCCTTAAAGGCAGTCTCCTCACCGCTGGTCGAGATGCGCCTTGCTGCCACAGCTGTCAAGCTAACGCCCATTTCGTGCTGGCAAAAGAACCTCAACAACGCAGGCTGGTCTTGAACCTTGCCTGTTTCTTTCACATTGTCCAGCACCTCGAGCTGCTCCTTCAACGCCAGCAAGTCGGTCTGGCAATACCTTGGCCTTCCCAAGCGCGGATTGGAGCTCGCGGGCCAAGAAGTCAGGCTCCTTACAGGCTTCCAGCACAGCCGTTACCAAGGCAGTTGCCTCCTCCAAGGTTGGCTTCTGGGCAGAGCGCCCTTTGTCAGCTTCAAAGGCGACAACCTCCTCTGATGCGATGTTGCGCAACGCGCCGAGCACACGCTGCTCAACTTGAACTGTGACCAGCTCCTCTGCTTGCTGCTTGCCCAAGGCGGCAACCAGCGCCCGTGCCTCAGGGCACGTGGCTTGCAACTGCTGGCAGCAGGCCCCGTGGTCACTGTACAGCAAAGATTGGCTGGCCCTTGCCAACAAGCAAGCCAAGTGGAAGCCAGGCCCAAGGATCCTGGCAGGGAGGCCCAAAGACTGCAAACACGGCTGAAAGCCCTCCATTGCCTCGTTCCACGCGTCAAAGGCTGTGATGTATGCGTCCGGCTCTGGGTTGGCCACACACACAAGGGCCAATAGCCGTTGAGTTGCAGTGGCCGATGCTTCCAGTCCTTCCAAGGCCTCAACCAAGTCCTGCAAGTTGTCTTTGTTGGAGCTTTGGTTGGCACGCCGGATGTTATCCCGACAGCCCCGCACGACCTTTCCAAGCGCAGCGGATCGTTTGGAGCAATCCTGCTTGTAAGCCTTGAGCCTTTCAGCCTCCTGGCCACAAGGGGGGTCGACCAAGCTGACCTCAGCAAAGGCAGACGCTTCTTTCTGCAGCTTCTCCTCCAAAGTCTTGCGCGCCCTGGTCGCGCGGCCGTCTATCACCAGCATGTTGCGGCTGGCCTCCTGCTGCTTCGTGCTCTGGATAGACTGGCTGCTCTCCCTGCCATGCGTTGGCGGCTTTGCCTTGGAAGGCCCGCTGGCAAGGGGGACACCTGGGGCTGAAGGGGTCTGAGACTGACCGGCTGAGGTCGCAGGCTTGGAAGTCTTTGGAGGCTTTGCGGGCTTGGTGCCTGACACTGCTGCGTCCGTCTTAGGCTTTGGCTTAGCTGCTGCTTTGGTACAGGATGGGCCCAAAAGACCCACACCTGCCAAGCCACCTGCTTCTTCAGAGCTGTCCTCCTCGCTCTCGCTGCTGCTGGAACTGCTGTCACTTGAGCCGCTCTTCTCTCCTTCGCCGGCCGGAACAGCGCCTGAGGCGGAGCCGTTGCTCGCTGACTTGCAGGCAGCCAGAAGGCTGCTTGCGCTCAAGTCCGGCCCTTGCACAGAGCTGGCTTGGCGAGCTTTTGCTCCTGCTTGCACTGCCTTTGTCATTTCCTGCTTCTTCAACTCAAAGGCTTCCTCCTGAAAGATATCCTGCTTGCTAGAGTCATGCTCCACAACTCTTTCCTTGACAGCTACATCACTGTAGTCTTCGAAATCGAACTCGCCCTCAGGGCCCACCGAAACAAAGACACCCTTCAGCAACTGGCCTTTGATGACTTCAGTGACCTCCTTGGACTGGTCCCAAGCTCCCCAACGCTTGGTGCTCCAGTGGCTGCTCAAAACGAATTTCTTCTTGGGGGCGATAAATCGCCCCCCGTCGGTGCGCTCCACAGCAAGCTCCTTCTGGGCCGCCAAGAGGTCGCTCTTTCGCTTCAGTCGAACTTTCCCTGGATCTTCGTTATGCTGCTTGATCCATTCCTTGAGGGAACCAAGAAACTGCTTGTGTTCTTGTTGGTGCTGCTTCTGGGACACGTGCTTGAAGTAAGCGCTGTAAGACGGCCATTTGGCGTTGAGGCCTGCCGAGCAGAGGAAGGCAGCCCAGCAACCCAGCCGATCACGATTTCAATCGGAAAAAAGGGGCACAGGGCGCAGGGCTTCAAACTCAAACTCAAATGGCCAACTCGTACTCGTACGCTTCAAGGGGTGGTTTGCAGTTTGACATGGGCCGCGCAAACCCCAAAGCAAGATGGAACAACACACGAGAAAATGGACCCGCCCAGCCTAGGGCCCTAAACACGTTGAAGCAAGGGAGGCAAAGCTTCCCTTCAGGGACTCGGCAAGGGCCCATGTCCCCTGAAGTCTTTCGGTACTTGGCCCAAGGCCGCTTGACCTCCATCTCAGACGCTTCACTCAAGTCATCCAATGACACCGCCAAAGGCGACTTATCGGTGGACTTCGCATTGCACAGGCAGCAGGTGCAAGCTCTGGACATGGTGAACACGACGGGGAGGCCCTTGCTTGTGATGGCCGAATGCTCTGAGGGGGCTGGCCCCTCATCATGGCCGACTGGCACAACATCCTGGGCTTCCTCCTCCCCTGCGTCCAACATGGCGACAGAGGGGGGCCCGGTAGCAGGAAACCGGCCTATCCTGGGCCAAGGTTCTGCGGGGACACGCCGTCAGCAAAACTCGCATGTGAGCGGTTTCCCCGACTTAGGGCAAATCGCTGAAAAACTCCGCCCGGGCTGCCCGCCGTCCTCACCCCACAAGTCCCAAGGGGCCAGGTTCCGAAAGTTTGCTGGCTGCACAAAATCGCCCGAAGACTTGCCCCGAAAGAACTGCCCCGAAAGATGCGTCGAGAAAAACACAGATTGCGTAGAGAAAGCCGGGGCTTGTGTAGAGAAACCACGGTTTTGCGTAGAGAAACATGCGTTACAAAACGAAACAATTGTTTCTCGTTCAAACAATTGTTGTGAACAATTGCAACATTCCCGAAAACAATTGTCACATGAAACTTTTATGTAAGTTGTCACAAGAGTTGTGTCGAGAAACGAAGGAGTTATGTCGAGAAACGAAGGAGTTATGTCGAGAAACGAGGGAGTTGTGTCGAGATGTTTCCCGGCAATTTGTTGACCAAATGGTTCGGCAAATGTTGCGACAATTGTTTAACATTGACTGGCTTCAACACAACTATTTCGACAAAATAAGCACATGTAGCGGACAAATGCTGCGGAACAATTTGACCGCAACTCTTTGGCTGACAGCCTGTGGCCCGTGGCCTGTGGCGTTTGTCAGAAACCCTGCAGCGCAGTCTGTGCCTCTTTCTCCTGCCATGGGTCCAGCGCGCAGGGTCGTCTACCGGCCTTAGGCCGAAAGACACAGTCTGCAAAGCAAGTGCTACGTGGCCTAGGGCCTAAAGATGTTGAATGCGCTCAGCCCGCCGCTCCAACTCTTCAGCGGAATGGCCTTCGCTGAAATGACCAAGCCTGAGGCCGCCCGGCGATGGATTTGTCCCAAGCTTGGTCGGTGAAGCCAGCGACAATCCACCTCTTGAGGCGGAGCTGGCACTCCAGGTCGCTGAGGTGGCCCTTAGTCATGGACTTCCGGCACGATGCGTACGCTCCGTCTGCGTGGTCTGTGTGTCGCCCGCACACCGCTGACCAGCCAATGTGCTTGCCAGCGCCATATAGCGGCGCGAGCTGAAAGCTGTGCCATCGCACAGCGCGTTTTTGGTGCACCCTGCTTGTCAGGGACGCGGCCTCAGGTCCCAAAGGATGGTCGGAGCTAGATGCTGCTGACTCCGACTGGTCTGTGGGGAAAGCCCAGGCTGCTGGCTCCAACAACACAAAAGGCTCGGCTTGGCTGGAAGCCACACTTTCACAGGTGCTAAAGGACACATCGCTCTCGCTTTCATCTGGATCCCGACCCTCTTGCCGGTCCTGCCGTTTGCGCTTTGACCCGGCCGAAGGCCTACGCTTGTCATCCGGTTGCCTTTGCCTGCGCTTGTTAGGCTGCTTGGGGCCGAGAGCCCGGAAAGCTTGCAATGCTGACACCGAGTCTTGTGTGCTTTTGAGCTGGGACAGCAAGTGGCCATCTTCAACTTCCTCCTCTGCCCCAATGTCGAACCTACTGAGTTCAGCAATTGGGGCTGGGCGCAGGACACTTAGCTTCCAGTCACTGGCTTCTTTTGCTCTGTTGGCGAAAAAGAGGCCATCTCCTTCAACGCGCGCAGCTGAGTCTGCATTCCCTGGCAAGCAGTCAAGGGAGTACAGAACCTCTGCGTTGGCCACGACTGGCTGCGCAGCACGGTGCAAAACAATGAGAGCAGCTTGCCAGGGGTGCCTGCGGGTGTGAAAGGCGACGCACACATAGCGGTCTAGCCCCGTGGCGGCGGAGCGCAGGGCAAGCAGCAGGGGCTCAGCTGCAACTTGCTTGGGTGTTGGCGCCTTGCTTTTCACAAGTGTCCAGAACCGCTGCTGCAAGGATTGCATTGACAGCTGCTGCTCTTGCGTCAGGGTGCTTGCGCAGCCATTGTCGGCACACAAGCTGAATAAGGGGCATGGCTCTTCAGGCGCTCCCTCAAACGCACCGTCATTTGCATCTTGCAATGACCGCGTTGCTCGCTCAAACATTGCCACCAGGTCAGCTTGCTTGCTCATGTTGCTGGACACGACGTGTCTGGACAATGAATGGCCACAGACCGCTGCTGTGTTCCATGGGCCTCCGGTCAAGTTCGCGTCGTCGTGCGCAGCGGCAGCGCTCTTGATGGTCTTGGCCAACACATTGTCAGCATGTGCCCTTCTGCCCCAGGAACGCTTGTCTTCGGGCGATAGTTGGCGCCAGGCGCGTGTGGCTTCCGCCAAACGATCCGCCCTGCTCATGCCACCGCCTTGCCTGGCCATCATTCTGCTGAAAAGGTGCCAACCGTTGAGCCCCTTGTTTCGGGTTGAAGAGTGAATCCACTCAGGCCTCTTCAGTCCTTCCCGAGGGTCCTTGACGTGGCCGGCCTTCATTCTCCAAAGTTGGACGTGGCGGGCAAAGCTGTTGGTGTAGTGTTTGGCAGCCAAAAAAGGCAATGCTGGCTTGGGCCCTCTGGTCTTGCTGAGCCACTGAGTGAACCTTGCAAACATGCGCTCTACATAAGTAGACGTTGGCACAACCCGCTCGAAGAGCGATGCGAGAAACACTTGCGTGCTGTCTTCCAGAAGCTGGTCAGCGCTGTCCAAGGAAGCCCGCAGCTTTTTACTGAACCCATCCAAACAGCAAGGGCTGGCTGTCCAGTAGGCGGCTGCCTGAGCTCGCCTGGCTTCCAATGAGAGCGAGCAGTCGCAAACGGCGGCCAGCTTCCAAGGGTACTGCTGCCACGGAAAAACTAACTTTCGCCAGAGCTGGCCGACAACTATGCAGAAACACCGTCGCGTGATTCGAAGGCGCTTCTGATGCCACGAGGCCAAAGGCCCGTAGATCGCCACAACTGGGCCCCAGGCCGAGGACTGGGCGTCACGCCAGAGTTTTGTCAGAGACAGCAGCGCCTTGGTGGCCGGGTTTTCCTCCGCGTTGCAAAAGCTTGCAGCTGTCAAGGGCGCCCCTGCCATGTCCCCAGCGTCATCTTCATCATCTGTTTCGTCAGGAAGGCCGCGCTCTGAAAGCCAGGTAGCGTGCTTGAACAAGGAATAGTGGATCACCATGACAGGGCCTGTCAGCACGCCCCACAGTGCTGTGCTGAACTGGCACTCGCTGTCCACCATGAAGTGGCACGCCTTGGCCAGCCGCTGGCGCGCAAGCCGGCGCCAAGAACGGGTCTCATTCACCGGAACACCCAGCGCAGCCCCTTCGTCGTCTGACGAGTCGGCCTCGTCGGGCTGAGTCCGGGCCTGGCCAGCCATGGCCTGGAAGGCGGCTGGAAGAAGCCCGCAAAAATGCTGCATTGCAGAAATATGGCAGATGCACGGGGCCACTTTCGTCCACTTGTTCATGGCGGGAACCAGAACTGGAGTCAGCAATGTGTCTTGTAGAACGCGCATGCCCTTCTCCACGCTCTCGTCCCTGTCGCTGCAGCAGCCGCGGCACACGTGCGTCGGCGGTCCTGCAGGGCAAGGCGGCAAGTTGTAACAAACGCCAGCCCCCGTGTTCCCCAAACGCACAGACGATCCACATGTCATGTAGCAAACCCGATTAGCCCCTCAAGATTCCAAGCCCACCAAACAATCCGAACAGCTCCAACAAGTAGTCTGGAGAAACAAGGTACCCTTGCTGGACATGGCTGTTACAAAGCCAATTAGGGCTGCCTGAACACAAAGAACATGTGGCTAGGCTGCAGCATTTTTGCGAGCGGCGACCCTGCAAAGCTGAGTCGGCAGGGCCAGCAAAACAGGAAAAGCAGCCAGAGTGCCACACCCCAGCTCCAAGACTAAACCAGAGAAGGGCCAACAACACAACGTGAGTGATAAACCAAAAGCACAAAATCAAAATGGCGTTCCGTCGGTTTTGCGGTTTGCGTTTTGGGCGCCCGGAGCTGGGGCGTGACTGGGCCGAAGGCCAAGCGAAAGTGAGCTGCGCAAGCTGAGCCGGAGACAAGGCCTCAGGCCAACGCCCAGAGGGCGGTTGAAGGCCAAAAGGCCATGCAGCCACAGACTTGGCTGAAAGCCGCCTTTCACCACCTCCCTTCCTGCCAGGAGGACCAAGACGATCCCCAACCCCAGCTGCGCTTTGGGGTGGTTGGCGGGGGCAACAACTCTGTCCCGCCCCACTGGTTCTTCAAGTACATGGCCAGGTTGGTCGAGGTGGACAACGCCTGGTCCACGCAGCCAGCCCCTCGAGGCCCCGACGGGGTATTGATCACGCGCCGGACCTGCGACCACGCCAGCTCAGAGTCGCCCAGCTTGTGGTACAAGGCCCAGCAAAGGGCCTTGACAACCCGCAGCTGGCCCCTGGAGGCTGCCATTGAGAAGGCAGTTGCCCCAGACGGGGATCGCACCTGAAGACCGCCGGCCGTCATGTGGTTGCACAGGACGCTGGCCAAGTGGCAGAGCGTGTCATTGCCACCCGGGAAACTGTTCGGCCGGGCGTCGATCAAGGCCATGAGAGCTGTCCAATTGGCGGGCTTGCCGTTCATGTTGGTGACGGCGTCTGCGAGCAAGGGGCACTTCTGCAAGCAAGTGTCCACTGCCAAGGTGACGCCCATGCGGGCTGCATGGTGCAGCAAAGTCAAACCATTGCTGTCCCTAGCGTCGAGGAGCATCCTGTCAGGCACACTGCTCAGGTGGGCAACAAAGTCCAAGACCGATCCAGTGATCAGGTGCTGGAAGGCGTCCCTGGCCCATGTCTTGGAGACCTTCTCCTGTTCAAGCCTGTCGATTAAGGCCTGCTGCGAAAGCTGCTGGGTCTCCAGCAACCTCAGGACTTGGTCCAAGACCTTACCTGACACAGGGTCGCTTGCCTGACGCTGCTGCCGCTCCTCCTCCTTCTCCTGGGGCTGCTGCTGCTCGGCACTGTTGTCGTCATCCCAGTCAGCCTCCTCCTTCGGCGACGCGCTCAGATGAGCACGTGCATTGGTTTTCCTGGATTTTCCTGTGCTGAATGGCCTTAACTACCAAACTGCGTAGTCTATGCAACAGTCAGACTGTGACTTAAACCTGCAAATAAGGGTTTGAATGTTTAGTTTAGACTGTTTAGACTGTCAGGCCTTGCCCCTCCAGCTTCCTCTCGGCGGTGTTGGCGTCCGTGGCCGCTGCATCCTTCTGGTTCTCCATCTCTTGGACTGGGGCCGAGCCCTGAGCCTCGCCATCTTGCCCCTTGACACTGGCCGAGCCCTCAGGCGCTGTTGTCAGGGCCAGCACCTTCTGGTCCAACTGCCTCAGGTTTGCCACCAGCTTGTTCAACTTGCGCTGGCGGAGCTCAGCGGCCATGTCGGAGTCCACGCTGCAAGTAGATCCACGAGGCGTGGACTGTGGACTGCCACCGCCGGCCATCACCCAGGAGCACTCAGCATCAGACAGAGGTGTCCGCGCCATCACCGCTGGACGAGCGCTCCTTCCTGCCCACAAGGACCGTGCTTCCAGCGTCTGACTCGGTGACGTCACCCTCGCGGCCCTCGCCAGGCTTTGGGCCTGACATAGGCGCCTCCAACTTTCGCACCTTCCTCACAAAGCACCTATTGACAAAGCCAAGACTCAGCGCTTTCTGGGTCAGCTGAAGAGGGGTGCACATCTGGTTCACGGCAACATCATAGACCGGGCGGTCTTGCCGAACTTGGTCAGAGACCTCAGCCAACCAGTCCACAGGACGCACCGTGTTCACACGCCTTGCGCTTGGGGGCGCCCTGCTGCGCATGTCGACGATGTTGCGAAGCTGCGTCACGTGACGCTCGCACTCCTGCGCCGTCCACCCGAAAAGCCTCATAAGAGTAAGACACAACAAGGTCGCAGACCTGTGGGCACCGTTCCTGCACACCGAAAGCACGGAGCGCTTTTCCACGACCAAGAGGCGGATGACTTCGTCCACAAGCTCGAGCAACTGGGCCAGGGGCACGTCATTGTGGACAACGGCCGTGCCGTCCACGGGCTCCAAAAAGCGCGCGCAGCAGGTCTCCTCCTCACCTACAACCGCCCTGCAAGCAGGCCAAACAACACTGATCTCGTTCTGCATGAGGCTATTGGGCGTCAGCGCTGCCTGTCCTCCAAGCCACAGCTTGCCGCCCCCTGGGATGTCCAGCATGACGTGCATTGGGCTCCTGAAAGGTTTACAGAGAACATGGAGCAAGCAAACATCACTTCGTTCTTGGGCTTACAAAAGCAGTCAGGCTCAGGCTGGGGGCTTCGACCTAACAGTACTTTGACCCCCTTCCCTACCCGGTAGCCTTTGGCCTTTGGCCTTTGAGCCCTGGGTAAGCCGATCATGCTTGAACTACTTTGCCGCTCTTTGAGCGACCATGCCTCCGGTTGTACTCGTCTCGTGCGTAGCGCACTGCGCTGACACCGCCATACGCGTCAGTGACCAAGTAGTCCTTCAAAATGCCAAGACCTTCGGCAAAGCCGGTCTCACCCATTTCAGGACTAGGCCAGAGGCCGCGGAGCTGGCTGCTCCTCAAGTCACCAGGCAGGAAGCACTTGCCCAGCCCGAACGTGGAGGCCTCCACGAAGCGACTGTCAGCCATTGCTGGCAACCCAAGGCTGAGAGTCGCCAGGGCTAGCGCGTGAACTTGAGCAAAACGGCTGCTGACGAACAACAAGCGGTCACGCAAAGCCGTGGACAAGCGCAGCCTGCGTTCCCGACGAAGACTCGGCCACAGGCCATATCACAACTCGGCCACAGGCCACTTTCATGTCTTGTCTGGTCTTGCAGAAATGAACCAAGGGCACAACCGCAAGCAGCAACTACAGGCCCTGGAAATCATGTCAGAGGTAAACCAGGACCCAGTGTAAAACTCAAGGTTTAGATCAGAGGCCAGGGCCTGGAATAAACATGCAGAAGGGCCAGCCATGAATCAGCAAGCCAGGCCCTGGAAATCATTTCAGATAACAGGAGCCGGTGTAAAACTCAAGGTTCAGATATGAGGCCAGGGCCTGGAATAAAAATGACAAGCCAGGCCCTGGAAACTTTCAGTGCAGCAGTAGGTTCTCCATGAGATTTCCCCTTTTCCATGTTAGTTGCACTGCAAGTTGTGTGCCTGAACATGCCCCCCCCAACCACCCCCGACCGTTTGCATGCACACACCCCCCACAGGTCAGTCCTGACCAGGGCCCGGCGAAGAAGGCCAAGAACTCCTGGGCCCGCCGTGCCCGGCGCTTGTTCTCAGTAACTGCGCCAAAGGCGAGCTCCAAAAACTGGGCAGCGTGCTGCCTGCCGGCTAACCACTCGGCTTGCAAGCCTGGGGGCTCCTGCGGCAGGACAATGAGCGTTCCTTGCAAGGCTGTCTTGACGGCTGCAATCAGGCTCCTCATTTTCTGCCCTCGGCTCAAAGTTTTCGCAACGCAGAAAGCACCAGGGAGCACGCCGAGAGCTTTTGTCACCCTCTCGACGACATTGCCATTCCTATGTTGGGCGCATAAGTTCGGAAGCAGGTAACAATGTTCTGGCAAAGACGCATGCAAGTGCTTCAGTAGCCGTATGTTGGCACTAAACTGGTCACAAGTCACCAAAACTACTGGGAAGCGAGCAGCTTGGGCAAACTCACTTGGCCAAAGGCCGCCCAGGTTCTGACAGAGCGCGCCAAACATGCAGGGCGCAGTCTTGTTTGGCAAGGCCTGAGGGGGGCGGACGATGTCGTAGTCTCGGGTCTGGTCGGCTGCGCGCACGCTGATCTGCGCGTGGGATGCCAAAATGGACCATGTACCAGGCCCAAGGCCGTGCAGGGCGACATCTAGCTCTGTCTCGTCGAACATGATGTTTAGAATGTGGAAGAGAGGGCCCTGTCCAGCCTCAGTGGCAGCGTGCGCCATCTGGCGGCACTCACGGTCCATGCCTTCCCGCTGCGTTTGCTCGATTAGCTGAGCAACAAAAAGCCTGGCTCTCCGCGCATGCGCTGCGCTGGCTCCATCAACTTCTTGCGCAACTTGGCGAAGCGCCGCATTCTCGCTGGCAAAAGCTGCCCTCAACAGCGCCTCAGGCGTCCACTTCTTCCAGCCTCCCTTGCCAGACGGCTTGGCCCTGCGGCCATCTTCTGCGACGGGCAGCAGGTGGTCAATGGTTCTGCTCCGCCCGCCGGCGTTGTTAGCTACGGCCTGACGTCTCAAACTGTCAGCCTTGTGCTTCAGATGCCGCCGCAGCTGATGCATTCGCGCTGTGCGGCGCATGCGTTTTCCCCATTTGCCCAGCCGAGCTCTTGGAGCTCGCAAGGCTGCTGGGGCCTGAGCAGCTGCCGCCGCAATGCGGGCCATGTCCATCAAAGAAGCCATGGCCCATGGCCACTCAAGGCGCCTGGGGGCTTGCAAAAGGCCAGGCGGCTACAACTACAAGTTACAAGAGTCGCAAGGCTTGACGCCTGACAAACGGCGGCACCAAACAGTTGCAACACGGCTGACTGAAATCGCATGCCGGCCCAACACCAAAGTTGTCCAACAACCGCTGCAGCACCAAAACGTTTCAAGAAATGCTGCGTCTGTGAGTTGCACAACTGGTTGCAGCAGTTCTGTCTGCATGCCTATGTTTTGCCAGGTTCAACTGGTGCAACAATTGTTTGGGCCCCAGGGTTTTGACAAAACAATTGTTGCAACAATTGTTTGGGACCCAGGGTTTTGTCAAAACAATTGTGGCAACAATTGTTTGGGCCCCAGGGCTTTGTCAAAACAATTGTTGCGACAATTGTTTGGCCCCCAGGGTTTTGTCAAAACAATTGTTGCAACAATTCTTTGGCCCCCAGGGTTTTGTCAACAATTGTTGCAACAATTGTTTGGGCCACAGGGTTTTGCGAAACAATTGTCGAAACAATTGTCGCAGATTTCGGGGTGTTTTGGCTGGATTTCAACTGGGCGCTCGCAGAAGCTCTTTTGAAAACATTCAACGCAAGTGCTCAACATTGGGCAAAGAGACCCGCTCCGGAGTGACACACTTGGTGTTGACCTGGCATGCTGTGGAATCGAGCACCAGGTGGTCCTTTTTTCGAACTTTCACTAAGCCCAGCTTGCCGACCGCAACATGGCCCCAACGTAGATTGGCTTCAGCAAGTCCTCCTGGAATTAACTGCGCAAACCCTTGCTCCAGCTCAAGGTCAATGGCCTGCTGCGTGTCTTCTGGAAACTGCTCCGCGCTATTCCAGTTCCCCTCGCAGCAAAGCACATGATCCCGAACCTTGTGGTCTGTCATCAAGTGGCCACTGACCACTGGCAGGAATGGGCTGCAACACCCCTATGGGAACTCCTGACTGCAGAAGGTCAAGGTCCACATCAACATCCGCCAACAGCGTAAGCAGGGCCTTTAAAAGAGGAAGTTGCAAACTTTGGCGTGAAGGCGCCGAAAGATTCCCAATTTGGCCACGCGCCTGCAGCCATGCAATCAAAGACGATTCAAAATCTCGGATATGGTCTAGCGGTTCATCAACATCTGGCTGCAGAATCTGCAACGCACGCATATGCAGCCGTAATTGATGTCCAGCGCTGCCGAAGGTCCTTAAAATAATCGGGCCGTTGAGGGGCCAGCCAGTTTCCTGCGCTGGAGCCACCTCCGCCATCTTCGACCCGATCAAAGGTACACCTCGGGACGCAGCATAAATTCCTCCCTGAGAACCATGGCACCGAAAGACGACGCTGAGTCAAAAAGGGCAAGAATAAATCTGCAATGGCTGAAGCAAGAGCGCCGGGATGCTCGACTTACGCTTCAGGGCTCCTGATTTTGCGACGTTCCTTTTTAGACAGGACCGTTTGGGGGAATTGCGCTGTTTTCACCCCCGCAATGGCCCAGGGATTCAATTTGCATTCCACCAAAACGTGTTTGCTGTCCACCTCTGCGCAGATCCCGGAAATTTCAGAGCAAGCAAGGGCGGCGCAAGGTCACCGCAGAGGCAGTGTCGGATTTTTCAATCAATCTGTCAGGGTTTACAGCAGAGATGACGTTTTCCCTTCAGTTCATTTGCAGACACAGGTCTTGGCCAGAATTGGTCAGGGCTGGAGACCATTGCGTCCGCAGAGTCGCGGCGGTCAGGCATCTGTGCCCGATGTGGCATTTGCAACTCGGACATTGAATTGCTTGTTTCTTGCATTCCCAGGATTTCCGGGTTTTTATCACCTCCGCACGAGCTGGGGGCCAACTGGCAAGTTGCGCGCCCCCCAGTACCACATCCTGCCCCCGAGGGGGCAGGGGTGTGTGGCTCTTGATGGCGCTTCCGCACTAGGGTTGCAACATCACCCTGTGCTGCTCGCAGAGGGGCAGTTCAGTCAAGAACTCCGTGCTCTCAGACGAGACAGGATACAGCTCATGCATATCTAGCTCCGATGACAAGCTGCAGGAAAGCGTCTCGCAGCCAGACACAGCTCCCGACGAAGCCATGTTTCTGTACATGCAGATAAGGCGGGATCCTGGCCCACCATCTTTTTCACCCCACGGCCCTTTGCAAGCGCGTTGTGGGGCACGCGCCGCATCCATTGACAGATCCTGCGCAGCAGTTTTTCAGCTCCCGCAGGATGCGCGCTCGTGCAGGCGTAAGCCCTGCGCATTGGCATTTCAGTCCGTGTAAAAGCAGCCATCGTCTCCTTCACTTTCGCAATGTCAGATGCCAGCGCGTGACACGCTTGACTGCGCATTCTGTCTTCTTTTCCCCGCAGCCATGTGAGTTTTGGCTCAGTCAGTGGACTGGGTTGATTCTAGGAGGATAATGGAGGATGACTCCACTGATCACATTCCGCCTGCTGATAATCCTGCCCATTTTGAGCAGATTCCGCAACGCAAGGGTGTCTCACAAATGATTCACAATGCAGTCGTCCCTTCGGGCTACGACACCTTAACCAAGTTCAGTTGGGCAGCAACCGATTTGGCCTCGCTGGACTGCTCATCGCCAGACGCCCGGAGGTTCAAGAGGATTTTCCTGATGATTCGCCTTTGCTCAGTCCAGATGCGGCTCTGTTGGGAAAGATTTGGCACGATGCTCGGCACTCTGATCAAATGGGTTCCGCGACATTGTCCTCCAGCCCATCTGCTGAAGCGGCCAGCCAGCCAGTCTCGTCCGGGGCCTGGCTTGAAAACACGCCGCCCAAGCTTCCCCACAAAGCCGTTTCTGGCATGGTGCAAACTTTTCAGAGCAACTTTGCTGGGGAAACCGATTGCTCTTCATTACTCATCAGACGTGCAAAGTGGATCACGCCTTTCACTGGGTGCCATTCCACTACAGATTGTCGCAGAAGCAGTACACAGATCAGATGGAAGCTTGCAGCTCCTGGCCCACTTCGTCCAGGACGACACGCCAACTCTTAATGTGGAAGGCGTGTCCCTTACACCTAACTGGTATTCCCGCACTCAGACAGTACTGCGCAATGCTTTCGTCTTGTGCGGCCAGGCGCATCTCCACACGTTCAAGGTTTTCGATGAACATATGCACAACTTAGTCTTTGCGAAGTTCGATGCGTCATCTGGGCTCCGAGGTGTCAACGTGATGGAGCTGTTGCAAGCCGATCGCGCCATTTGGCAAGAACCTTGCCACCTGCTGAAGGTGGAGAAATGGCCGCTGGACAATGGCCTGAACGAGTTCTCCCATGTGAGAGGCGACATGGCGTCATTTCTGCAGGCCGAGGAAGCCAGCATTGAAAGATTTCCAGTTGAAATCCGACGCAAGCTCGGCAAGGGTTCTTTGGCCACTTTCATCCACAAGGACAAGGTTCGCAAAACGCTGTGCATGAGATTCAACACCGGCAAGTGTGACACCTCGGCGTCCCCCTGCAAATTCTCGCATTTGTGCGCAGTCAAGGTGGATGGCAACAAACCATGCGGTCTGCCCCAGTCTGCCCTTGAGCACGTGCAGAAGAGCCGCAATATGAACTGACAGTTGGTGGACCTGCCTGGCGACCCAGCGTCGGCTGGGCAGGCCCAAGAAATGGTCGCGCCGTCCGTTCAGACAACACCGTGCCCTCTGCTCGGGAGAAGGTTCGCCCATTACACGTGCTCTTCAAAAGAACATGTGGGACTGTTTCTCCCTCGTAGATATCAAATCAGTTTCACCTACAGACATTTTGGAGGATTCCCAGTACGATTTGTTGCGCGAGCTTTGTTCTGCAGGCTTGGTGGGAGCGGCCTGGGGGACCATGCCTTGTCATCCGTATTTTCCTACGCACATTGATGACCCGGAACATCTCCTAGCTTTGCAGGGGAGCAGGGAGACCCACTCTCGGGGCGCGCATTTGCTGCAGCCGGCCTTTCAAGAAGAACTTTGGCATATTTGTTCACTCCAAATCTGCCCATTTGTGGCTCAGACGCCGGTCAACGGCTCTGACCATTGGAGATTGGCTGGGGTCATGAAGTCTGGAGAAAAGTTCTCAGCGCGCCTGCAAAATACTGTCTTGCACCAACTGAAAATATGTTGTCACCCACCTGCCCGGAAAATCGCAAAGGCCGAAACAAACAGCACCCCACGGCTAACCCGTCCGTGTGGTCTTTGTTCAGTAGCAGGTGCCCCGAAGCACGGACCCACTGTCTAGGACCAGTGAAAGAATATGAGTGCGTCGCAAGTCGCCCCAGCGTAGGCTGGCCACGGCTGCCACCATGCCTCCCAACACAATCTTCAAGAAGAGGTCACCGCCAGGTTGTGAAAGGAAGGATTCCCAAGCAACCAAGAGGGACCACGGAAGTGGAAGGGCCTCTTTTCGCCAGTTTCACCACATGTAACAAGCTGCCGCTTTCCAAAGATTCCAGCATATGTATGTGGGCAAACCGTCTGAGTGCTTTGACCGAAGAGCGGACCCCACAGCGAAGACGCCGATCCTCTGATGCTGCAAGCATCACTTCCGCGAGGAAATCCAAAAGTTTGACCATTGGAGGATCCAAACAGTTTAGCTCATGTGCCTCGCACCATTTTTCCATTTCAGCCATGCGTGCAAATATCTGTCCACTGTGGAGGAGGCGTATTTGCGAAGGGGCTCCGAGGCAAACAGCTCAAAATGTTGCGTAGCGGAAATGGAACACAACCAGGCCGATGTCTGCTGAAACCGGTTGCACACCTCCAACCAAACTATCCTGTTCTTGTCCTGGAGCCTCTTCTCCAATTGCTTGCCTGAGGTGGGTTGAACGTGGGAACAGGCCGGGTACTGTATGTAGGCGCTGTGAGATCAGGTTGGGGCGCATCTGCAAACAAACT